TATATATATATATATATATATATATATATATATATATAACTTATATATATATATATATATATAAAATTAAACTTTCTTGTACCATAATATTAGTTCTCCACTAATAAAAGTTCTTGTCACAAACGTTAGGTATGAGATGAATTTATCTACTTTTGAAATTTATTCGAACTTATTTCCTAAAGAGAGGACAAAAATTAAATACACCAAATGTATTTTCATACATTTTTACATCATGTGTGCATCTTGAATTCAATAAAAAAAGACTGAACTGAACCTGTTTTTCCTTCAAAATAATTTATGTTTCGGATGCGCAGTCAATGATTCTTTTAATGAGCCAATGGACTGTTATTTTTTCCAGCATTTAGGGTCATTGTTGAAATAAATCTCATTGGCGCTTATTAACGCGAAACTCTTAGAAAAAACGGGAATAAAATCATATGAGTGCAAGTTAAAAAGGAAAAGACATTTAAGCAAATAGTATTAAAAATAAATAACGTTGTAATTTGTAAAATAGATATTATTTATATTAAAAATAACAAATACTACTTTTACTTAATATTTCAAAGTGAGCATTTTGTGGCTTATTGGTAAATTTCAGAAGGAAATGATAAAGCACGCAAAATATCTGGATATCATTTATTATAGGTTTCCATTAACAGCGATATTGATCTTATTGTAAATCACTTTATTAAAGCTACGTTGCATCAGTTTGAAAGAGACAAGTTTTCAAAAAGTAAGATTAATGTTAAGCTTGATATTTAGTTATTGCTGTATTAACAGTGAGAATTTAATCAATTCTGATGCCAGATGATAATGATAATAAAAGTGAGTATGATGCGACAAACCTTTTGTTTCGCAATTATGTATGGGTAATGATTGTAATGATGTGACAGAAATGCCAGCAAATCCAAAGGTAAACACACAAAAGGGATGCTAAATTTATGATTCAAAGTTTTTGAACGCGAACCAACTTCCGTAGGAATTATTTAAAAAGCAAATTAAAAGGAACAGATAAAAGTCGGATGCTGGGTAATAGAGTCTTCAGCGAATAAAGATTTTCTGATTTATTAATTGAAGAAAAAGCGATCTTTGTTCGTTTACAATTCCATTAAAATGTTAAGGCACGTCAGTGAACTATGAGAAAAAAAGGAGCAATTGTCTGCTCTGGTACAATTAAGAAAATCAAATCAAAACTTTGCTAACTTCTCATATCTCCAGTTACCAAGATAAACTGTTTTCGGCAATAATAAATTTCTCTGATGATAATTTGCTGCATAAGGTTTTGAACTAATAGTAAATAATCAAAATTATAAACAGTATATGATTGATCAATAAATCGGAAATCATGCATTAATTATGAATACTAAGCTAAGATAAGTTATGAAATGTAATAACGTGACATAAACAAAATACATCAGCATGAAAACCCATTCATAATCTATAAATCATCTAAATGAAAGTATAAAAATAAAGTGGTGTTTATTTTAAAATAATTGATAGTCTTACACTGTTTTGTGTTGAATTACTAAAAATTTAACAAAACTCGCGAAATATTGAATGGAATTATATGTAAAAGAAATGCTGAGCGCCCACACGACGAACTGGGAAGTTATTTCCTGTCTTTTGGAAGTAAAAGTACAGAAATAGCAAGAATACCATCATTGACATGCTTACTCTAATTCGAATCTTTTTACCTTCTTTTCCGTTTCCTTTTTTTTCTCGCAGAATTTTTCAAAAATTAAATTATTGGCAATGTTTGCAATCTTAAAATTACGTTTACCACAATGGATATACTGTCATTTTTCATTAAGACTGCTTATTTACCATTTATTTAACCATAAAATTTCCCGAAAAGTAAAATGTTATCAGAAACCTATTTCGGTGCAAGCAGATAAAATATCTGACAAGTGTAATCTATCAAGGCAACTAGTACTTTCCTAAAAGCGAGTAGAATGCAGCTTTATTCATCACGGAACATCGACCTTTGCTTTTACAGTATATTTACCTTCCTTATTTCTGAAAAAAAAGCCTCAAAACTTATATTTATGAAACGAACCTGTAGATTCAATTTCTGTCTTTCCAGAAACTACTTTTCTAAACTTCTTTACTTTTTAGAAAAAAGTCTGAACTACACGTGCGTTTACACGTGAATAACTAATTATTGCTCAACAACGAGGAAATTGAAGGAAAAAATTTGCTGAACTAGTAATTTGACTTTCCTGCTTAGCCAATTATATAATCCAATATCTGCTTATTGCACATACAGAGAACATTCTAAATAAATAAAATTAAAATGTACCTTTATGGATTATCCTTAATGAATAACAGTGTAGTTTCTCCCACTGAGAAAATTTTTTGCTTCGCTTTTTAGCAAATGATGAGGATACAAGATTGTTAAACTCTTGCTGACCTTTCTTCGGTGTACTTTCCGCCTTCTTCAGCTACAATTAATAAATAATGAAAAATGTAGGAGGAAGGGACAATGAAATTTCATACTTCAACAAAAATTTCACAGGTACAGTGCTTTCCGGTTTACTTTTTGATACCGAATATATTATTTACGCTTATGTTTTCTAGAATGGTTCGGTAGAGATTTGCTGACTTTTAATATGCAAATCGTAAAGTGATGTGTTTTGCAAATTTTATCAGTAGATAAGCTTCACATAAATGCTTACATGAATAGAATCTTCCCGGACACAAATACAAGAGTTCCGCTAAGCTAAGTTTAAAAAAAGAAAACCATTTAATAAAAGAACATAGTGAACAAATTTAAATGCGATATTTTATGCATGAAAAATTAATAAAAAGTAATTAATAAATAAATTGAAAAACCTGTAATCAATAATGGAAATATTGTGTTGGCCAGGTAATGTTGCTAAAATAGCCTGAAGGGCATCCGAAATTTGTCGACTGATGTGAATAAATTGATTTGTATATGGATAATGTAGCTCATTAGAATACGGTAAATCAGTAAAATTAATGATAAATCGATGTACAACAAGGAAAGTTGTAGCAGTAAATAATGATGGTAATAATATCATCGTTTTCTTTTTTTTTTGTAAGGATTGAAATTGATAAGTTCGAATGTA